AAGCAGGGTAAAAATGGAGTTCAGAGTCATGTCTCTCTTTGTGCTGAGGAATTCTGTTGGGAAGAAAGCTTGCTTGCAAGCAGGGTAAAAATGGAGTTCAGAGCCATGTCTCTCTTTGTGCTGAGGAGTGTTTTTCAAGGTGTTCTGTTGTATGAAAAGTGCTTTTTCCCTCTCCCATTTGCTGTCCCTTTTCCCCCACAAAAGGTGCTTGTCTTGGCTGAAAATGTGCTTTTCAAGGTGTTCTGTTGAAAAGGTGTCTTTTCCCTCCTTCCCTCCCTCTTTTCTTTCCTTTTTTAAAAACCTGTCATCTTACATTAAAAGGAAAAAAATCTGCCCCTAGTGGTAGGAATGGATTAAGCAGCTCTGCACTAGTTCCTTTGGGAACTAATGATTCGAGTTACAAACCGCTGCTCGACTTAAGAACCAAAAACAGCCTGAATGGATTAAATGGTTTTCAGTGCATTCCTATGGGAAATGCTGATTCGACTTACAAACTTTTCGACTTACAAACTTCCTTCCGGAACGGATTAAGTTCGTAAGTAGAGGGCCCACTGTATATTATTATCTGTACAAAATGTACAATTTAAATATTTTAATTGTGTTAAATATCAACTGTGGACAACTGGATCCAAATCCTTATTCAGCCAGAAAACTCATTGGATTACTATTAGCTAGTCATTCCCTCATAAGGTTATTGTCAGGATAAAATTGTGGGGGGAAGTAAACATGAATGTTTGCCTTAGCAATATTGTTAACCTCTTGAAAGACAGGCATATGGAATGAAAATGAGAATAGAAGTGCTGCTGATGAGTCATCCAGGTAATAAGAACAAGCAGTCCTCTGGAAAATATTATTAAACTACAGTCCCCCCCCCCATGTACTTTCTGCTTCTTGGGTTTGGGTGAACTGTCTGACCCATTCATTGAATGAAAGTAAGCAAAACAGCATAAATGAAGATCAGGAACTTGCTGTGAAAGCTGTTTGCTCTCTATTTAAACTGTTAACTAGCTCAGAGAACAGTGTTCTGTCTATAATTAATACCAAGAAATGACACATACAATATGTACTGACCCCTCCAGTAGAAGGTGAAGGAATTTGCCAAGTTGGGCCATGTAAGAACAGTTGGCATCTCAGTCATCATTCCCCAAACATCTGATTTATCTTCTAATAATATTTGTGTTTCCTTCCTACAAGAAGGTGAAAATGAACTGGTGATTTGTAGCAAATTTACTGAAAATGCAAGAGGGAAAAGCCATCATGCTCCCAGTCCTCCAGAACATGAAATTTGTCACATTCTAGCCATTTCTTCTGCAATTCCCAAGACCTTTTTACTGAAGTTCCTATCAAAATAAATAAATTTTAAAAACCTCTGAATGCAACACTGCAAATTTAGGAGTTGTGGAAGAAACTGCAGTTCAGGACAGAAAAAAGTAAGAAAATAAAAATAAAATATGCCAATCTGATATGCTTTCAGCATGGAGACTTCATTTTTGCAGGCCTTATAACATATCTGGATTCTATAGTTCTACTAATCTGCAATTCTGTTTTTATAGCAATTTATAGTTTGCTTTTTAAAACAAATATGAGCTCATGTTCTTGCATTAATTTTGTACCATGTTTGGTATTCTTTGGACATAAGAGTGATCTATTACATGCTGTATGTTCTTTCTACTTGCTCTGTGCGTGCGCGCATGCATGCACACACACACACACACACACACACACATCTTGCAGCAGACCATGAAATTACTAGCTATGTAGGTTTTGAGTATACTTCTGCCAGAACTGTACAAAAAAATTTAAATAACCCATTTCATAATTGTGACACCACTGTACATACTGTGGTCATTGGCTTCAGTTGTGCAACTCTTAAAATCTGTTATTTCATTTTTATCAAGTGATGAGTGGGTGTAGATTCTCTTGAGCACAAAATATGGCTCTTTCTACAGTTCAAAACTTGTGAAAGTCCACACCCACATTGCCACAGTACAACCTCATAAATGAAGCATAATGTTTTTAATATAAACATATTTAGTCAGCAGATTGTGGTCCTTTTCTGCAGCACAAGAGTTCGGACTCACTGGTTTGAAAATCTTTCTTTAAAGACCAATCAGGCTTTATTTCCTATAGTGGGGCTCCTCTCCCTTTCTAACCACCATTACAGGTGCAGTTCCCTGCTCCTCATGGCCAATTGCCATTATTATTATTGTATTATTATCCAGTTTTTGAGATAGAATTAATCAGCTGCACCAATGAAACCAATTTGAGTAAAATAACTCTGAAAACTTGAATAATATGCATATTCTTCCAATGGGTGCCTTTCCCTGGAGAATCTTTGGTTCAGTGGTCCCTAAACTACCAGTAGAAGGTCCCAGGTTAATTCTCTGGTATCTCCTGTGATAAGGCTCTCCGGTGATAAGGAGTATGATAGACGGCTGCTGCCAGCGAAAGGGGAGGATACTACCCTTCCAGATAGATCACTGACATGAACTACTGCACATCTTCACTTCAAAAGGGAAGGGGTAACATACTGCAAGAGAAGCCAAACCATATTTCTGTTGACCAGGACTTTGCAACATTATAATCACGCATACCCATCTTATTATCTGAAGTAGAAAATACTGCTGTAACATTTGATAACTTCTCCAGGTACAGTGCTAGTTCTGTTCTTCCCTCAAAGGCACACTAGGTATCAAAAATACTTTTGGAACTGAAAGGTAGCCTTCTTCTGGTTATAATAGTCTTTGCAGCCAGAAGCTCTTCCTGGTAACCACATTTGTGAACAAGCATAAAAGGAGGGTCCCCTCCTTCTCCTTGTGGTCTGTGTACATTGTAGAAGATTAAGGAACATCTATAACTTTTGGTTGCTGGCAGAGGTATCGATGCTCCTCTTCTTTGGTCCCCTATCCCTCTCACTCATGCAGAGGACTCAGCAGAAGGAAGGAATCTGGACTTCACATGTGGCAGACTGGGAAGCGTTGAGAAGCTCTTTTGCTTACTCTTAACTCTCCACAACCCAATGTGAGGTGAATGATTAAATTGTCTGTTCTTTACCTTCCACAGCAGGAGGGATTCTCTTACAGTATATCTCATAATAGGCCTTAAGGGTGGCCAGAAGCAGTACAAGGCTCTCACTACTTCTATGGTCACCCAAACCTGGTGCTAAATGACAGAATATCCCTCTCCCTGAGACCTCTTGAAATCAACAGAATGGCAGGTTTTTCATTCTCCCTGCACTATGCTTTGAAGACATTCAGAAAGAGGGATTCTTACTGCTTTGCCTACACTACACAGCATGACACTGAACTCTCTTCTCAATTCCAAGAGGACTTAGGGGAAGGGGAGAGGGGAATCTAAATAACTGCTATAAACTAAAGCCTGACTGACACATCACACCTCAATGCATCTACTAGGCAAACAGAGGAAAAAGAAAACTCCAATTTCCCTTGATGTTAATCTTAATCCCACCCTCCATCTGAATACACTAACATGTCGGGGCAATTCGAATGCAAACTTTGAATATTTTCTAAATAAATAATAAAGATCAGGTAATAATTCCACAATGCTCAGTAAACAGCTGTCCATGTCCTGTATTTATAGACTAACATAGAAAGGAAAATTCCAAAAGACCACAAATCTCCAGAGATGTGCAACCAACGTACTGTGCCCCAGCAGGAGTCAAAGGCTTTCCTGAGGTCACCCTCTGCATCAGCGCTTGGGTTTGCTGGACTTCTTAGAACGTGTGCTTGCTTTGGTAGAAGGAGGCTGTGATGGTGGCTTTTTCTTAGAAGAGATTTCTACAATGAGAGATACATCAAAGTATTATATGTCTATATTTCAATACCTGCAGCTACCATGAGAAACAGTAGAGATCAGTGAATAGAGTGTTGGGCCTGAAGATGGAAAAGCTGGCTCCAAAACCCAGATCAGGGAAGCATCAAACATTTTCTAGTGACCAATGTTCACTCTAAGATGCACATGTGCGCTGAGCTCCATCGGTGCCGTGCAGCGGCAGCTGGTGTCGATGCCAGTTTACTTCCTGGTTTCAAATGAAAGCCCACTCCCCGCCCCCCCTTGCAGACAGGTGAGGCTCCCATGCAGCAGGGATGAAAATTAGAGGGGAAGTTGCTAGTGACCTATCCAGAGTTTTACAGATACTGTCGTGATAGGAAATCATGACCAAAAGCAAACCCACAGCATGTGTTTCTGCATGTAATATGCATTTGCAAACATATTTTTGCACATCTGTGTCATTACAGGGGAAACTAGATTACAACAGATATGCTTTACTATGGGGCAGCATATAAATCAAAACAAGAACAACAAAACGTCATACCGGTCCACTCATTTCAACAAAGTCAAATATGTAAAATTGTCAAATTGCTGTAAAACTGTTATTATATATTAATTGTTTTTATCTGGTATGTCTGTAAAACTGTTATTATATATTAATTGTTTTTATCTGGTCTGTTGTGAGCCATCCAGAGTAGACAATGACTAGATGGGAGGCATATACCTGCAATAAATACATACATAAATAATAAATAAATAAATATATCAAAATTCTGTTTGGAAAAACCACATGCGTAGGGGCAATCACTGAGTGGTTTTCCATTGTCTCCTGCCAGACTGTGTGACTTATTATATATTAATTGTTTTTATCTGGTCTGTTGTGAGCCATCCAGAGTAGACAATGACTAGATGGGAGGCATATACCTGCAATAAATACATACATAAATAATAAATAAATAAATATATCAAAATTCTGTTTGGAAAAACCACATGCGTAGGGGCAATCACTGAGTGGTTTTCCATTGTCTCCTGCCAGACTGTGTGACTGCTTTCTTGACCTGAGGAAGACAAAGTGTGCAAAGCAGCATAAGGAGGCTTGGCTTACACTGTGTGGGACCAACAGAATTCTGGCCACTACCTTTACCTGAGTATTCAAAATGTGTTTCATATAGAAGATCCCAGTAATCATTAGAGAATTACAATAAAGGTAAGACAGTGTGATGGAATGTAACCACTCTTGTTGCACTTGGGTCAGAAACAAACATTTATGAACAGTTAATAATTAGTGAAAGTACTTCCATGTTGAATAGCTGAGACTGAAAGCTGTCTTCTGTGTAAGAAATCAGACCTCAAATCCTCTTCTTAAGTTCTCAAGACAATCCCAAAATAAAGAAAACTCATTTGCAGAAATAATATGATGAGAAGGATTACAATAAGTACAGTAACTCAGATACTTTCATTAGTTAAAGAATTCCTTCTTCTGATTATCTGTAATGGCAGTAAACTCACTAGGTGGTTATTGTCGGTTTTTCGGGCTCTTTGGCCGTGTTCTGAAGGTTGTTCTTCCTAACGTTTCGCCAGTCTCTGTGGCCGGCATCTTCAGAGGACAGCACTCTGTGCTCTGGTGTAGTTGGCTTGGGAGTGCAGTATTTATGGCTGTGAGATAGGCTTTTGTCTTTTTCTGTAGATGGGTGATTAGTGTGTCTTGTGGGTGTATTGTTGTGATAAGGAGAAGAGATTATTTGTCACTGTGGTTGATGGGTGTCATTAACTGGTCTTTTGTGTGTAGTGATCCCTTGTCCTTGTGGCTAGGGAGAGTTCGTTGACCTTTTGCACACTGTATTTTTGAGAGCTGGGAGCCAAGTTTTGTTGAAGTTCTGCTGGTGCTTGTGGATTTCAATGGCTGACATAATGTGCAGTCTGACATAATGATTGCTGGTGTTGTCCAGTATTTCAGTATTTTGAAATAGAATTTCATGTCCAGTTTGTTTTAGGGCATGTTCAGCTACTGCAGATTTTTCTGGTTGTTTTAGTCTGCAGTGTCTCTCATGTTCTTTGATTCTGGTGTGGATGGTTCATTTTGTGGTTCCAATATATACCTGGCCACAACTGCAAGGTATCCAGTATACTTCTGCAGTGGTGAGGGGGTCCCTTCTGTCCTTTGCTGACCATAACATTTGTTGTATTTTTGTGGTGGACTTGAATACTGTTTGTAGGTTGCGTTTTTTCAAAAGTTTCCCCATGCGGTCCGTGACCCCTTTGATGTATGGTGGTCTTGAGCTAATCATTAAATCTCAACCTAACCTACAATAAAGGGCTTTTATGTTGATAAAGCTGGGGGAAAACAAAGCACATCACCTTGAGCCCTTTGAGAACTGGGCAGAATATAAATGAAATACAGTGGTGCCTCGCTTAACGATGTTAATTGGTTCTCAAAAAAAATAGCTATGGGAAAACATTGCTAAGCGAAACACCATTTCCCATAGGAATGCATTGAAAACCGGTTAATCCGTTCCAATGGGAATGGATTACCGTCCTTAAGCGAAAATCACCATAGGAAACATTGCTAAGCGAAACAATGTTTCCCCCATTGGAATGCATTGAAGCCTATTCAAACTGTCAAACCTACAGTTCAATGCATTCCAATGGGGGAGAAAAAAATTCACCAAAAATTAACGAAGAGTCAGAACAAAGCTAAATTAAGTTTGCAAAGGTTTTACAAGGTGCACTAATGATTCCAAGCATTTAAAACAGTTTTTGAATCTTTTAAGACACTTTAAAAATAGCGGAAATGGACATTGTTAAGCGAAACAGGGGGACCTAAACTGTCATTACTAAGCAAGGCAAGGTCCCGAACATCGCTATGCGAAATTTCCCCATCGGGAACATCGCTAAACGGAGCACAAAATCGCTCCAAAAACCTCATAGCTAAGCGAATACATTGTTAAACGAGGCAATCGCTAAGCGAGGCACCACTGTATATTATTTCTCTTCATACAGCAAATAAAGACCTTAGGCTGAGAGGCAGTATCTTGGTAAACCATGGCTTTCCTAGCTCACTGACAAGAGCCTCATGGCGCAGTGGCTAAAACTGTGCTCACGACCTGGGATTCAATCCCAGGTAGCTGGCTCAAGGTTGACTCAGCCTTCTATCCTTCTGAGGTTAGTAATATGCGTGCCTAGCCCGCTGTGTAGCCTGCATAATTAACTTGTAAACCGCCCAGAGAGTGCTTGAAGCACTATGGGGCGGTATATAAGCAGCACGTTTTGCTTTCCTTTTGCTTTTAACAGCATACTTTGCCAGAAATCTGAGCTGGTGCACAACATGCATATTTATTAAAAGCAAAAGCAAAGTGTGCAGGTTATATACCGCACCATAGCACATAAATTGTAAACCTTTTTGGGCAATTTACAGTTCAATTATGCAGGCTACACATTGCTCCCCAGTGAGCTGGGTACTCAATGTTCCAACCTCAGATGGCTCAGTGAGTGGGCTTCCTGTGTCTGTTAGGTTCAAACTCAGATCATGAGCATAGTTTTGACTGCAGTACTGCAGTTGAACCACTGTGCCATGAGGCTCCAAGTGAAAGTATTATGTGTGGTCATGACAGATACTGTATTAGTCTTATCACTGAAGAATTTTCATTTCATCTATGACTTCTGAATGCAGCATGTTCACATATTCAGACCAAGTTTACACATGTTGAGGTTGTTTATTAGTGACTGTATATTGTAATTTTGATTTTTGTACTGTTTTAATATTATGTTATAATGGTACATACTCAGACCTAAATTTATAGACAGTTGCAAACCTCTTTGTTACAACAAATGCACCTAAAGATGTAATGCATAAAATCTTTCTTAGACTCCAGATTAAGCTGTATTTTTAAGCACTGACTATTCTTTCTATGAAGTCCTTAGCCATACCTGGTTCACACTGTGGTTCTATTTCTTCTGAAGCCTCTAATACTGGTTCCACCTCGCCCTCCAGATCATGAATTTTTGTAAGAGCTTCTTCTAATTCCTCATGAAGGACTTCTGATTTTTCTTCAGCTTGCTGTGCCCTCTTTTCAGCCTCTCTGAAAACACAGAAGCCAGTGAGAGAAGCATGGATGCTGGAAAACTTTACCAAATAAAAAGTAAAACAGAAAGATAGACCAAACAGAATTACCACATAATAGGCAGTTGCAGGTATTTGAGGACAAGGCATGTTGGGTCTTGAGGTATGGTCTAACTAGATGCATGTGTAAGAAAGCATTAGTTTTGTACTTTTGCATATGGAGCAAGTAATACATCTTTCTCTCCCCCCCCTCTTTCTCTCTCTCTCTCTCTCTCTCACACACACACACACACACACACAGGTGGAGTGGGGGTCAGAAGCAAACTGTCTCCTTCTTACTTTGCTATTCTCTACTATGCTGAAAAGGCTTCTCCCTTCCCAGCTCATTTCCAGTGGCAAGGAGTTTAGGAATATAAGGAAGAAGAGCAGGATTAATTCCCGCTATCGCTAATTTATACATCAATAAAGTTAATAGATGCTTAAGATATACATGATTACCTTACACCTCTCTTTTCCTCGGCAGAAAACCCTAAACAGCATTTCTACTGCATAACATGGGTGCCAGGAAATTTTCCCAAGCAAGTCAAAAACACAGGAGATTTTCTTGCACAAACCAGACCCTTGGGGTCAAGAGTGCCAATTATATACGGGATAAATATTAAAATGTGTAACAAGAATTATAGCCCTAGGAATGTGAAGTGTGAATATAATATATATGTTTAGTAATAATAGTAATAAACTGTTTAATAGAGGTTAAGTGCTGGAAAAAAGTAACATTGAAAAGAGGAAAAGTAGAAAATGTAACAATTTAAATAGCAATATACTGAATGTCCATCAGAGGCCACTGCAGAGTAAAAAATGAAATTGTAGCTACCTCCACATATTTATTTAATTAAGCAGAGACCTATTGGTTCTTTATGGGGTTTTGCTTGTCATTCTGAAGAACAATGTTAAACAAATGAAAGTCCTTACAGAAATAGTCTCAATGAAAAATTCCACTGAGACTGCCAAAGTAGTACCAGACATACTGCAAGTGAGAGACTTTGTTGAGGTAAACATTATCAGCAAGTTGTCTGCTACCAAAGTGAAGTCTATGGGATTTTGTATCCCCCCCTCTTTCTCTCTCTCTCTCTCTCTCTCACACACAGACCCCATGGACCAGAGCACACCAGGCCCTGCTCTCTTCCACTGCTTCCCGGAGTTTGGTCAAATTTATGTTGGTAGCTTCAGTGACACTATCCAACCATCTCCTCCTCTGTTGTCCCCTTCTCCTCTTGCCTTCACACTTTTCCAACATCAGGGTCTTTTCCAGGGAGTCTTCTCTTCTCATGAGATGGCCAAGGTATTGAAGCCTCGGCTTCAGGGTCTGTCCTTCCAGTGAGCACTGATTTTTTGCATTACCCTGGTACTAAAGAGATCTAAAACCATAGCAGATTAATGTAAATAAACAAAGATAAACTAACCTCCTCCTCCTCCTCCTTTCTTTCTTTCTTTCTTTCTTTCTTTCTTTCTTTCTTTCTTTCTTTCTTTATTTATTTATTAATAAAAGATAAAATGATTAAAATACAATTAAAATAGATACACTAAAAATTTCCATCAGGACCCACAGTTGATATTATTTCAATTAAAAGCCTAAAATAGACCACCATAATATAACCTAGAGGAGGAGAGAAAAGCCTTAGGGAGATACTTTGCTTAAACTGATTGTGACTATTAATCTGATTATGCTCCAGATTTTAAGATAGTTATTTTCATGATCCCACGTGGCCCCTGATTGTTTTACCAAACTAATAATAATAGCTCACACTACGTGTCTTTCAGCTGCCACCAGTTGATTACATCAACATTATATATTATTGATAGATATCCAGGCCATATGTCATTTTAAAAGAACCAAATAGAAATTGTTTATTGTTACAGATGTAGATACTTCAAGCAATGTTGTTAACACTTAACAAACATCCTCCTTCATCCACTCTCAACCACCACTCTCCCACCCAGACTCCCAGAACTCTCAATCTCCCTTCCTCTGACTAACTCCCTATCTAACTACAGTGGTACCTCAACTTACGAACGTCTCTACTTACAAACATTTTGGGTTATGAATGGCTCCGTTTGAAAAATTTTGCTTTGACTTGCAAATGGAGCTTCAACTTACAAACAAACAAAAACCCTTTATCAACCACCACTCTCCCACCCAGACTCCCAGAACTCTCAATCTCCCTTCCTCTGACTAACTCCCTATCTAACTACAGTGGTACCTCAACTTACGAACGTCTCTACTTACAAACATTTTGGGTTATGAATGGCTCCGTTTGAAAAATTTTGCTTTGACTTGCAAATGGAGCTTCAACTTACAAACAAACAAAAACCCTTTACTGCCCTTTTTTTGACCTAAGTTCACCTTAGGTAAAAAGAAGAAAAAAGAAAAAAATTTAATGCATAGAGTATGCATTAAATGGCTTTGCATTAGTTCCTATGGGAACTAATGCCTCTACTTGCGAACAGCACCTCGATATAAGAACGAAAAACAGCCGGAACGGATTAAATGGTTTTCAGTGCATTCCTATGGGAATCTTTGCCTCAACTTACGAACGTTTCAACGTACGAACGCCATTCCAATACGGATTACGTTCATAAGTCGAGGTACCACTGTAACTGAATTTTCCCCACTAACTCCCCCTCTTCCTGCTGAGTCTATTTTATCTTGTGACTCCACCACTCCAGCACTCCCATTGGTCTATGCAGATAGCATATGAATATTCATGACCTGGGCAGACGCCACAGTTATATTTTTAAAGCTATTCATTTTTTAATAGATGTATTAAGTCCTTAAAATTTAATTTATTAATATATTGGAACTGTTTTAGACACAGGCTCTTTGTGTTCACATCACTGGGGATACAAATGCAAACAGCAGCACCACAAGTGCCACAGAGGCCCATTGCCTCCCTCTAGAACCAGTTGATCCTCTTACCATTCACAGCACAGCGCTCGGCTCTATTGCCATCATCTTGTTAATTGTGGAAGAAGCCTGGCCCGTTAGCTGCGCTGCCACCAGTTGATTACATCAACATTATCTATTAGCTGATGAATGGTCAGTAGTGCGGGGAGGTGGGGAAGAGCTGGCTAGGCTCCTTCTGCAAATGGCACTGTGAACAGTAAGTGGACTGGATGGTCCTGGGGGGGAGGGAGTGGGCCTTCATGCCACCTGTGGTGCTGCTATCTAAAGTATATGAATATGAATAGCCCATGCCCCAGTTGATTACATCAACATTATCTATTAGCTGATGAATGGTCAGTAGTGCGGGGAGGTGGGGAAGAGCTGGCTAGGCTCCTTCTGCAAATGGCACTGTGAACAGTAAGTGGACTGGATGGTCCTGGGGGGGAGGGAGTGGGCCTTCATGCCACCTGTGGTGCTGCTATCTAAAGTATATGAATATGAATAGCCCATGCCAATATTAAGACTTCTGTGTTATATATTTCACCAAACTCCGGGACTTAGTGGAAGACAGGAGGGCCTGGCATGCTCTGGCCTATGGGGTCACGAAGAGTTGGACATGACTTAATGACTAAACAACAACAACATGTTTTTTATATATACATATAATCTTGCTTGCATATTCAATAAAAAGAAAAAGAATGATTCTTCTGATCAATTTGTGTGCTTCTTGGGCAAAGTATTTAAAAGGCTATCCAGAAGGAGAAAGCTATTCTGGTTCACACTGCATACAAAACCCCTACATAGGCATTGTTAGCTGTGATAGATTTCACAGACTGAAATGAAGTGTTCTTTCTCTCTCTTTTTTTTAATTCATACATACAATGAAGTGTTCTTTCTCTCTCTTTTTTTTATTCATACATACATAACATAACTAAAAAACACTCAAAATTTAACAATAATAAACAAAAGACATCAAAACTAAACATTCATACCACCCCTCTAGATCAGAGATCCCGCTATCGTCTGGTCGTCTGAAGTGTTCTGAAGGTTTAGTTCATGCATCATCTAATGACTTGACATTGGTCCATATGGCCCCATGCAGTGACTGGTAGCAGCTATTCAGGGTTCCAACCTGGAAGTCTTCCAATTCATGTCTGAAAATGCCAGGGACTGAACCTGGACATCCTAAACACAAAGTATGTGCTACTTCACAGATCTACAGGTCTTCCATGTCTCAAATCCCAATGAAATAAGCCCTCATTTCATAGAACAATACCTCAGAGGGATTATCTTACAAACACATCTACCTCAACTGTCCCATTTGTTCTTGTTGTTTAGTCATTAAGTCATGTCCAACTCTTTGTGACCCCATG